ACATCCCTGAAAGAACACATCCCTGCTGGTCCCTTTTGGACTTCTGACCTTCAGAACTGCAAGATAATAAACTTGGGTTTTTAGATTCGTAATTTGTTACAGCAGCAGCAGGCGACCACTGTCCCCAGCTAGCATGTGACAGCAGCAAAGATACAGGCTCTGTGCTGGGAAAAGAGTCCTTTCGCTCACCGTGTTTGGGACCAACTGCACCTCTTTAACACTGACCCCAGAGCTCTTGGACAGCTATCTCTATGTCCCACCACCCCTGTCTGACTACTGACCCCCACCAGCTCCTGCTCTGCCCAGTACCTTTCTCCCACCTTATTTTCCTGGGATCACTGAGAACCATCTCAGCCAGCCCAGGACGGCCTGGGGTTGGCGCCCTGGAGACATGGGCAGCAGAAAAAGGCTGAGAGTCCTCCGTGGGCCTGTATGTGTACAGGTTTGGGTAAAACAGCTTCTGCACCATCAGGCATCAATACCTTCATTGCAAAAGCAGAAACCAGAAGAGCAGCTAGGTGTGTGGCTTTGTGTGGAGTCCAGCTCTGAGCACAGAAGAGGGCCAGTTGCCCAGGGATCAGCATGGACACAGCTGTGTGACAGGGGAAGGGGTCAGTGGGACAGCCTCTGCCCAGAGTATCAAAACAGGGCATGAAACACTCCGGCCCTGAAGGAAGAGGGCTTCAGAGGCTCCTGGGGAAGAAGCCAAGGGGATGATCCAAGGTTTCCGGCCTCTCCATAGAACGTTTGGACTTTGCTGCCACCTTGTGGACAGACTTCAGAAAGACAGGGTTGTGGCTCTTCTGGGACAAAGATTGACATCTTATTTCATGCCTTAGGCTAGATCTTTCTAAGTCTTGGGGTTGAGGGTGGGAAAGATGGTGTGTATGTCGGGGGTCCTCCCAGATACATGGAAGGGACTCCCTAGGCTTCCAGAGTCCCAAGTGTCATCCTCATGGTGTGGCCCTCTGCCAAAAGTTTCATTCTCTTTGCAGACAGGGACACTGGAAGTGGAACGGAATAGGAGAAACCCAGGGGTAGGCCACCCATGTTGTGCCAGTATGCACACACCTTCCCAGCGCAGGGGCTCCAAGCTGTTTTAGGCAGGAATTCTGTGCAAAGGAGCTGGGAATGTGCAGGGTGAGACAAGGGGGAGTAATGGGAGAAAGGGGGACACAAAGGGATGGGGCACAGAGGTCTGAATCCAACCTGGTGGGAACGGGAAGCTGAGCCCCCGTTGGCCTTATGATGAGTGACCAGCTTGCTTAGCCTTCCTGTCTCTGAAATGGGGATGAGAAGGATAAAGGCCTCTACTCTCCCGGAGGACGTTCTCACCCATTCCGAATGTGATGTGAGCACACTGAGGAAGGGCTGATACGCCCCGAGACACCTCTCGACTCCAGCCTCATGCTTCCCTGGGTTTTTGCCCCATATTGGGAGACACGTGCCCAATGAACCAGGTACTGATATGACCCCAACTTTGCAGATGAGAATATTGAGGCACAGAGGAGTTAAGTACTTGTCCAAGGTTTCACAGCTGGCGTGTGATGGGGCCAAGATGCAAATCTGGGGTAGCCACTCGCACCCATGGTGCCCCCAATAGCTGTGTTGTATAAGGAAATGGGGGTGGCCACTGCAGATGCCCCAGTTCTAGGTTCCATCCAACTTGGGCTCTGGCGGTGGAGACTGAGGCAGATCTTCCTCCCTGGTCTGTCCCTTCCCAACGTAGATACAGAGCTCTCTTTCTTCCAAGTCTTCTCGAAAATAAGATTCCATTCCTTCCCTTTCGGACTCTCAATCTAATTCATGTCAATATGACTGTCCAGAAGTTCCTGCTATAGTCTAACCTCCACACCTCTTCCTGCAGGCCAAGCACCTTTGCAAGGTCCCAGAGAGAAGAGACAGAAGATGTGGCTGTGTTTCAGAGAGGGGTATTCTTGGTCTCTAAAAGCAGGGTTTAATTCTCTAACCATGACAGTCAGGGCTGGCCAATCACAAGCATTAATGGGGGAGCTTAAATTATAGAGGACCAAGTTAGAGAAAAGAAAAGAAAAAAAAAAAAAAAACCCACCCAACTCCCAGCCACGGGGACTTGCAGCTGATAGGTAATTATCTGCTGTTTGTGCGCACTGTTAGGGCTCCCCGACCCTGAGCGGTCAGCGTGGACGTGAATGGCGTGTGCACTGGGGGAGAGGGCCAATGAGTTCGTATCAGGTCAAGACAATTGTGAGGGGCCCATCCGGCCGGTTCTCGACTTCTTCCCCCCTCTTCCGCCCCTCCACTCCCCTCCAATCAGGGAGGAGCTGCCCTCTTTGCCCACCGCCCCTCCCCAAACACTCGGAGAAGAGGAGGAGTGATTAGCATGGGGCATTGTCCCCGGATAATGGGCCCCAGCTGCCGCATGAAAGAAGAGACAAAGCGCCTGGCCGCTCCACGAGCATTATCCCCTCGTTAAATCTCTGTTATTAGATTAGATCCAAAATGTATTGATTCAGAGGCTGGAGGGAGGTGGGGGAGGGAGGAGAATCTGGCTAGTGATTGCTGAACCCCACCTCTCCACATGCTCTCCCTCCCCCGCTGCACCTCCCCCCCTCCCCACCCTGGGCAACTTTTTCTCTCTCCTGTTCTCTTGGGGAAATCTCCCATATCCTGGCTCTGAGTTTAGCTCCTCTCCCTGGACTATCCTGGAGGCCAGGGAAGGTCCACTCCTGTCAGAAACCCTGAGGTCACGGAGCCCAGGCTGTGGCTGACCAGGTAGAAAGGCAGCCTCCTAGATGGGATGGTGGCAGTGGACTCCACAACTTGAGCAGTACGGGCCATGAATCCACAGGGGGTTGGAAGGGTTCATGCCAGGCACTTTCAAGACCTCCAGTGGGATCTTTTGCATAGACATGATAGGTTTGGAAAGCAGCGTGAGTGGGAAGGGAAGGTGAGGACCCAAGTATTGTAGGTGATGAGGGGAGGCTGCAGGAGAGGAGCAGGGAGAAGACAGAGAACCGGCAGGCTTCTCAGAAACGCTTACAAAGACACAGGTGGTTTCTGGTTCTCTCTCTCTGGATGTCTCATGAAGAAATGAGCCGAAGTGGCAGGAGGAAGGAAGGGAGCAGGTTCTGGGAGACATAACAGGTGGGAAGGAAATTCTGAGCGTTCTCATATCCCGCACAGGGCAAAGGTCTCCTTGGGAGAAGATCAAGATCAGTACTGATCGATGAGAGGCAGTACACTGGGTGTTCTCTGGCCCTGGGCCTCAGTTTCCTGTCCCTGGGTGGCACAGTTTGAATGCCGGATCAATGAGCTGATTGGCTGTGGCTAGTGGAGCAGAAGATGTTACACGTGGCGGCTCTTTCTCAAGGTGGTTAATTGGCTGCCTCAATGCTGGGCTCTGTTGCCCCATTGATTGTGGGTGAAGGGTAGGGGGGGGAGATGAGGAATCAATAGGTTGATTAGTGTCTTGCTAGCTTTCTGGTTGGACACTTTGTCAATAGCCACCCACTTACTGGCCAGTGGTGCACTGACAGTGTCAGACTGTCCCCCTTTCTCTCTCTCTGGCCAGAGGCATGAGACTCCGCCAGTAGCCTGACCAGCCCCAGCAAATCCTGGTGGGGTGGGGCAGCTTTTGGTCCCAAGACCGGGCTCCAAAGTATGAGCTTCCAGAACCGTCCTGAAAGAGTTGGGGTGGACAACGACCACCTGTAGCCCAATCTCTGCTCAGCAGGAGGCAACAACTGTGAATGGGGCCAATCCCCAGCCCCACAGCCTCTTGATTTTTGCTGGGGGACCCTGATATCCACCCATCAACAAAACAAAGGTAAATATAAAATCCCTATTTAATAGCAAAAGCCCATATGTCTGGAATGGAAGAAGCAGGTAAAATCTCATTCTAGTTCACCTTAGGAGCCAGCAGCTGGTTAGACAATATTTAATGAGTTCACTTTGCATGCTGGGGAGCACAGGGTATGAAGAAGCTGAAAGAAGCTAAAAGAGATGAGTCCTCTTCCTCAGTCTCTAGGATATCTCATTCTTGAAGCTCCCAAGGGCTCAAGGTCTACCCTCCATCCAGCTTCGCAGGGTGGTCTACAAATTAGAACTGCAGTTTGGGGTCGTGAAAAAGTATAACTTCACATGTTCCCTACTGAAGCCCTTATGATTGGCCAGCCCAGAACAGTTCATCCCAAAGATTCCTTTGGGGTCCTTTCCCTTTAGACTGGCAGCATTTAGTGCATGTCCAGCATGCCTTCCTCTGAGTGACAGGAAGCCCAAGACGGGGAGAAGGATAAGGCTGGAATGAGAAAGGGAGAACCAGAGAAAGCCTCAGGCAAAACATTGTGACACTAAGGTCACTCTGGGTGGGTTCTGGCATTCCTTTCCTCTGAACGCTTGTTAGATGGATGGAGTGATGGAGTGATAGAGTGCTCCTGAGCATGTCTTAAACCCTGGTGTTTGGGACAGGGGACCAGGATATGAAAAGTAACATTGAAGAGCAGGCTCCTGACTCTGCCTCTTTCATGGTCCTGCTCTCTTGGGTGAATGTGCCAGGGGCTGGCTGCTAAGAGTTCCCAAAGGAGATAGTTAAACTCAAGCCTTGGCTTTCCTCTGTCTTCCAAAGACCAGACCAGTGGGTGCTGACCGTGGTGCTGATGTCTTGGCCTCCACTGCAGGATCCTCTGGCAGGGAGAGAGCTCGCTCTCAGCTTCACTGACAGACCATGAGCACAGAATGGTAACAAGACTGTGAGGACTCTCCCGGCATCTTCCTGGGGGTTAACAGAGCAGGGCATTGCTAAGTGTTCATGATCCTTACCCTCCCACCTTGAATTCCACCTCCTATTAGGTCTTCATAACAGCCACTATGTGGTCACCTCCCAATTCCCTGGGCTAGGAAGCACCAAATACTGAAACCACAGGTAATACCCCTACCTCATTTCCACCAGCAATGTTTAACTTCTTCTTCCACCCACCCAGCTGCTGACAAATGGTTAAGAAGAGAGTTTAGGCTTCATTGTATTTTATTACCCCCACCCGCCCCCTACCCCACCATCATCCAAAGGAACATGAGTATTCAGGGAAGTGGCTACAGGTGAGGTGAAGAAGGAGACCATTACGGTTGAATAAACCTAATGCAGTGTTACCAGCCATGTGCAGTAGAGAGTTGGTTTGCTTTGTATCTAAAAACAAGGCTAAAGGGGGAGGAGCAGAATTTCAAAGTGCCTTATTCAGGGAAGTGACAATGGGGAAATCAAGGATTGATACACAGATAAATAGAATGAAGTTAGGGAATGCATGGGTTTTTCTAGATCAAAGACAGCATGTTTTAAAGCCATGATAAGTTGGGTGGGGTGGGGTGGGGTACAAGAGTCTTGAACATCAAGCTTTTGGGGAAGAGTTAAGGCCCTGCTTCAGAATTACTGGCATTGGACAGGGTCTTGAAAACATCCCTGGCATCTGCTGGGCCCTGAAATCCTCAATCCCCATTCTAACCAGTGCCTTACTACCCCTCCCTCAAAACACCCCCACTGGGCTGTGCCTACTCAAGAATACTGCCAGATGGACCACAGAGTAACCAGGGTGATGCTGTAGGCCAGCACCGCCACCAGGTAGATGCGGAAGAGCAGCCTGTCCAGCACGGAGCCCACATGCAGCCATTCCCGGGCCACCTCTCGGCTCTCGTCCCTCTTCTCCAGGAAATGCCTGATGGAGGACAGCTCCTGCAGCAGCCCGCACACTGCCAGGGAGGCCTCCCGCGGTGGTGGTGGGGGGCTGCCTCGGCCCCTTGGGGTCTTCTCCAAGTCCTGGGGTCCTCTCAAATGGCTGCAGTGGTTCCCCACATCTGGAAAAAGGGCACAGCATTGGCAGAGGAGGGAAGCCTGGGAGAATGGCACGACCACTGTCCCTTCTGTGCCTGTGGCTTGCAGAAATTGTTATTATGAATTCCAGACATAAACAGTATAGATGTGAACTTACCTATTTGTGTACCCAACGTCTCACTTGAGCGAACAAAGAAAGCAACCCGGTGAAGATTCCTGCATACCCCTCCTTAGTCACATCCTCCAATCTGTCCCCAGGTCACTAAGATATGAATTTGGTGTTTATTTTTCCCATGCATTTTTTTAAACACCTGGGCTTCCTGCGGCAATTTGATATCTATTATTTCACTTGAGCCTCACAATAGCCCCACGAGAGAGGCAGAGTAGGAGTGATTACTATTTGGACTTTTTATATGGAAGTGCTAAAGCTCAGAGAGGTTAAGTGACTAGCCTGTGGTCACACAGCTGGAGCATCATCTAAAAGTGAGGCCACCAAGGCTGAAGGTATGTGGACTGTGACTCCACTGCTGTCTCTGCTATGCCATATGGCCTTGCTGCCCTCTCCTTGACTCCAGTCCAAGTCCCTTTGTACCAGAAAATACACCTTCAGCTATGGCTACCTCATAGGTGAGCAGTGAAATTGGGCATTAGGCTGGAGTACTCATTCATCAGTTCACGATGAGGTGGTCTTAGATTAACCATGCACCTCCTGTAAAAGGCCTAGCTCTCGCCAGAAGGGAGGACAAAGAGGGGTGGTGAAAAATACAAGCAGAGCGTCAGCTGGGCCTGGGTTCAGACCAGTCCACCAGTACCTTGGCTCTGTGACTTAAGGCAAGCTAGTTGGCCTTATGCCTGTTTCCTCGCTTGACAAATGAGGATGACAATCCTATTACGGGGCCTGTGCATGGCCTGGGATCACGCACAGAAAGCGCACGTGCCTGCCTCAAAGTGCTCAACAAATACATCGACAAACCACAACTACCACCACCACCAGCAACGGATGTAGCTGAAACAATTTGTCAGGGAGAACGAGCTTCACGTTTACTGTCCCCTGCACCCCTGTCCCTCTGTCATAGGTGTTTGAAATTCGAAGGGGACTTGGTCTCTGGGCTGACTGAATGCAGAGTTTTAGAAATCCTGGCTGCACGCTTAGCCATGCGAGGTAAGGGGACCCATGACTGCTGGAGGGGCACCTGTTTGACCCCCTTTTGGGTCCATCTCAGACAAAGGCAAGTCCTTCCGAGCTCCTGACAGGCTCAGCCTCTCACTTCGCCCCGTCTCTCTCCACACCCGGACTGATGAGGGGAGGTGAAGGTGCAGAAAGGGCCCACCGATGACTTTGGCTGAACTCTGCTGCCTCCCAGTGAGACCCGGCACGGGGTGCCAGGTGCAGGGTGGCACTCAGTTCCCAGCCCCGGTCAGACTCGCCAGCCAGAGACTCTCCACCACGTCCGCACCCCCAGGCCCTCCGTGTGGGACGCCCCCTTTCCCTCTTCACCTGAGCAGTCATCGGTCTTGGCGGCTCGGGGGGTGGCCGGGGGCCGTCGGGAAGCTGTTTGCTCCCCTAGGCAAAGAAGCAGGGCCACCCGCTCCAGGACCAGGTGCCGCAGCCAGGCGGGTACGGGCTGCTGCAGGTCTTGCTTGTGTACCAGCCGCACGATGAGGATGGTCTCAGCCAAGCTCACCACCAGGAGCGCCATGCACACGACGAAGTAGACACCTGTGCACGCGGGGAAGGTCGGGGGACACACAGCAGGTGGGAGGGCGCCGGTTCTTCAGCCCCCGCCCACCCCCACCCCCAACCACATTGTGCTCTTCCCCTGGAGCGGGCTTTACCAATGAGGGGAGTGCCAATGGCTGTGGCCGGCAGCGTGTCCGACACGATGATCAGGAAGACAGAATAGCCCAGGAGGAGTGTGATCTTAAAGGAGACCCTCTCGCCACTGTCCGGAGGCAGGTAGAAGCCCACGATGTCCATGAACATGAGGAAGATGCTGGGCAGCAGCAGGCTGACTGTGTAGAACAGGGGTCTCCGGCGGATGACCACCTAGGACCAGGACAGGAGCTGGGGAAAACCCGGGGCACACAGGTCCTGCACCCAGGACCCCCCAGCCCATCATGGACCCCTCGCTTCATGGAGTTCCGGCTTGGCCCTGCTGGAAGAGGAAGAACCGGACAGACCTCACATCCGGCCTCTGGATTGAGGCCGGTGGCTGCAGAGGACGAGGAAGGGACAATTCCCCTGAGCTTCCCCATCTGCTGCCCAGAAGGTCCCACGCATGTGTGTGACCTGGAGCTGGGAGAAGGGGTATAGATGGTCTTCCCCACACGCCTCCTGAAGTCTCCCTGGGGATGACGCCCAGCAGTTCTAGCTATCATTTGCCCCGCGTCTGTCGCCAGGGCCACTCACGAAGAACTTCATCTCTGCGTAACAGCCGCTGCTTTCCATGCTGAACTCACGAAACTGGGTCAGCACCCCCAGGAGCTCCCACTCGCCCTGGTTCATGAAGATAGTCTTGTCGAGCTTCACCTTTTCTGGCAAGCGCCACAGGGAGATGTTGATGTCCTGGACTGGGAGGGAAGAGACCGAGCCAGCTCTGGAGTCCAGGGCCAGGAGGATGTGCCGGGCCCTGTGAGGGTGGGGCCCGCGGTGGGCCGCACAGGCAGGACTTAGGTGGACTCAGCTCTTAGCCCTCAGCCTCCGTGTCCTCAGCCGTAAAATGAAGTGATAACGCACACTGTATCTACCAGAACCAAACTATTAGAAAGCCCCTTCTCTCCTTCTCTCTCCTCTCTTCCTCTCTCCCTCTCTCTCTCTCTCCCTCCCTTCCTCCCTCTTCCTCTCCCTCTCCCTGCCTCCCTCTCTCTCTCATGCACACCTCTTCTAGGTTTCCATTAGGGTCCCCCATTTAGGAAATGAACAAAAGTCAACATTCTTCACGTTTGCCTTCATAGGGCTGACTGTCCTCAAAGGTGAATTAGGGAAATATGCAAAATCTTCACTTAGAGAAAAGCAGTTTTACTTCTCTGCATCTACACTAGAGACATTAGACATATAGAAAGCCAGCAGCGTCCGTTACAGCAAAGTATAGGGAAAGATCTACGTGTCCACCAATCAGGAAAGTGCTTGCTTAATCAACTATGATGCATCCCAACCCTGAGCTATCCTACAGCAGTCAACATGTAGGGTAAAGATCTAAATACACACTAACTCGGAAAGATGTCCAATGCTTCTTGTTGTCTGTAAAGAGAATCAGGTAGCAGTGGCATGAATGATACATTTAGTAAAATAACAACCTAAGAAATAATTTTCATGTACTTTCCATAGAGGAGTATGTATGTGTATATGCAAAGGATAGAGAAGGATCTGGAAGAACATACCATATGAGGCTTATACTGATAAAAGCTGTTAAGTCTTGGTGTGTGGAGTTGCTGGTGAAGAGTTCGGGATTGAAGGTGGAGGTCAAAAGTCAAAGATAATTTGCACTTGTGGTTTTTGTGCAAGGAAGTTCTGTATTATGTTTGTAATTTACAGTTAATGTGACGAAATCAAATAGAAGTGGAGGATGCCTTCTTGCCAGAGGGTGATGCTCACTTTGTAGACTTTAGTGAGAACCTCGTATTCATCCATTAAATAAAAGTTGCCAAGCACCTTCCTTTGTAGGCACTGTACTGGGGACCTAATGGTGGGCCGGAAGTCATGGTCCTACCCTCTGTGAATTTATATCTGATCGAGGAGCAGACATTGAACAAACACCTACAAGTGTAATAGAAGTGGGGAGAAGATCAGGGTGCTAAAAATTGGACAAGGGGGACGGCTAGTCTGAGATGAGAGGAGTTTCCCCGAGGCACTGACGCCAGTGCTGTGATTAGGTGAGTAGGAGACTTGGCTGAACTAGGAGTGGTGGGGGGCAGGAGGAGGGTGCAGGGTGGCCCCGGAGAGGAAGCAGCCTGTGAGAAGGGGAGAGAACAAGGGCTTTGGGGCCTGGGAAGGAAGGCAGCTGGGTTGGGCAGGACTCAGGGGAACATGCGTGGGCTGAGGCTGGAGTGGTGACTGTGGGCAGCCCCTGTCGGCCAGGTGAAGGGTTTGGGTTCTATCTCAGGAGTGCAGGGAAGCCACTGAGGCTTTTAGGCAGGGAGGGGCAAGGCCAGGTTTGCATTTAATGAGCTCTCCCTGCTGGCTCTGAGGAGCATGAAGGAGAGGGGGACCGTTGGGGAGGTGACTGAAGAAAGCTGGGCAGAGAGATGAGGGGGAGGGTGCACCCATGGAGAAAAGACAAGTAAGAGACACTTAGTGTCAGATCCTAGCCCTCACCGGGTGTCCTGGCGATCATTCAACCCTTGTGACTACTGGGGAGATGGCAAGAACAACAGAGTCCCGTTTGGAGGATGAGGAAACAGAGGCTCAGCGGCATTACGAAATAAGCAGTAAGTAACTTGAATAAAGGAGAGTGCCTGCTAGGGTGGGCTCCTCAAGTAGGGGTTTTGGGGACCCTCCAACCTGCACCCCCACCCCCCAAAGCTTGTGTGCGGTACTCACTGGTGTGCAGCCAGCTGGTGAACGTCAGCGAGCAGTTCTGCACGTCGAAGGGGAAGTTGTAAATGTCCAGGCTACAGGCGGTCACCACCTGGAGGGGCTTGTAGTTCTGGACCTCGCCATGGTGCCCGACATACACGTACGGGATACTTGGAGACTTCCCCACGTCCACACTGGCCAGGGAACAGGGGCAGTTTGGGGGCTCAAGATTACATGCCATTTCCAAGCAGGAAAGGGCATTGCTCCTTCATTCCCCCGGCAACCTGGCCACAAAAGGCAGGTGAGGAATCCAGGTACCTCAAAGCCACTTGCTGTCATGAGCATGCCCAGCTGCCCCTACTCCACCACCCACGCAGCTGGGCAGAGCCCAGCTCCCGGGATCAGCAGCCCAGTGGCAATGGGCAAACTTTGTTGGACGATCCATCCTGGGGATCCATCCTGACCTGGGCTCCTCTTTGCCTAGAGGTCCTGTGACATGAGAATAATCTTCCCAGGAGGAAAAGGAACTAGAGAAATCCTTGAGAAGAAAAGAGGCGAGGTGGACTTTGTCACTCTCTCTCAGCAGATCCCCAACCCCTAGGCTCTCCCAAACGACCACTGTGGCACAGAGTGGCCTGAGCTTAGGGTCCTGAGCCTGCAGCCTTCTGTGGAATCAGGCCAAGAGATAAGAAACTAAGATCCAGGCTACTTCACAGTCTAACCTGGAGATCCAGCCAGGAACTGGGATCCTTCCAGCCCGAGGTCTAGGTCAACTGTCTCCCCTGAAAAGCACTTTGAGTGGCAGCCACGTCATTGGGCAATGTGGTGGGTACCGGCAGAGGGCAACTGGCCCCGGGCCACCTCCTCCTTCCATCTGTGTCCCCCAGCCATCTTCCACCGCCTGGCATTAAGAAGCCCAGGCAGTGGAGCCTGAACAACCTGAAGGATGGGGGGAGGGCATGTTGGCCGGGGCTGTCAGCTGTTGCGAATCAAGGATGGTGGTACCCACTTCACATTGGGGGTGCGATCTGGAGCCAGCCAGGCATGTGTATGACTTGAGAGGTGTGAGTGTCTCCAAATCACCCCGGGGACCACTGCTGGAGCTTCATCCCTATTGGGAATCTCACTGTCCCCTTGAAAACCACAGCTGTCCTTCATTCAGCTATTATGACAGGGCAAATTCATTCCTTGGCTTCCCTTCCCTGGGAAGGGGGCCCTTGGACCAAGAAGTACAGGGTTTCCACATCAGGCGTAGAAAAAGAGGAGTTTTAAAAAGAAAAAAGAAAAAAAAAAAAAGAGAAAGAAACCAAAGGGGAATTTGGGCCCAAGCCAACTTTACCTACAGTTCTGCAAGCCTGGGTGAGACCGCTCATGCCACAGCAGAGTCTTGCCCCCAGCCCCATCTTTCCACAGCCCCAGAACCACCCAGCCACCCAGCATCAAATGACAGCACTCACAACTCGTTGATGAGAATGTCTGGGACCCAGATGCTCTCGGTGGGGATGGACAGCTTGGTGATGTTGTCGAAGTCCTCAGGGTTCCACTGGAGAAACTCATCTGTCCAGTACTAGGGGAAGAGCAGGGGATGGTCACAGGCGGCCACCCCTCGGGATGACCTCACCGCTCAGTGCCCAGGCAACAGACGGGCATCTTCTTGGGGGAATCACTCAGCAGTACTGAGAGTCCCCCCATCTCTGTGCTCACACTCTCCCGGCATGCAAATATGACCCAGGAAAATGACGCCTTGCCCTGCGGTCATTTCTCCCGTCTGACTATCCCATCCACCAACTGCGGGATCTTGGACACATAGCTTCTTGGGTCTTGGTCTGCTCATATGCAAATTGGGACAATAAGATGCATCTGACAGGGTAGAGATGGTTACTGTTAAGTTGTGATCAACACATTCCTCACTATCCTGTCAGAATGACTGATCTAAAAAGTCAACGTAATTATGTCATTCCCTTGCTTAAAACTCTAGGGATGCCTCTTGCACTTGGGATAGAGTTCAACCTCATGGCCAGCAAAGGCCTGCACAATCTGACCTCCAGCTATCTCTCTAGTCTCATTATTTTTTTAGATTTATTCATTTATTTTGAGAGAGGGAAAGCGTGTGTCGGAGAGGGGCAGAGACAGAGGGAGAGGGAGAGAATCCTGAGCAGGCTCTTCACTGTCAGTGCACAGCCTGACGCGGGGCTCAAACCCTTGAACTGTGAGATCATGACCTGAGCTGAAATCAAAGTCTGAAGCTCCACCGACTAAGCCACCCGGGCTCCCCTCTGGAGCCTCATGTTTTTGCCATCTCCTCTATGGAGTCTCCTTTCCACTGCGCGCAAACACCCCACGTCTCTGCAGACCTGCGCTCTCCCACACCGCAATCCCTGTCTTCTCCCCTGAGGGAGGTCTTCTGTGTCCCTCCAGACTCAGTCAGAGCATCTGTCTGCTCCCTTCTCTGGGAACCTTCCGTGCCCCCCACTCCCCAGGCTGAATTTTCATGTGCCCCCTCTGTGCCCTCATGGTTGGTATCTCATTCTTGCCTCATTGGAAATCTTGCTACATTCAACTGTCTGTTCATGTGTCTGTGGCCTCTCCTAGTCTGTGAGCTCACTGCAGGCAGGGCCTGAGTCTCATTCGTGTCTCTAATTCCGGTCCCTTGGCACAGTAGGTTGGCATCCCGTTACTGCTGGGCACACAAGTGACCCTAGAGGTCCAGAGGTGGGACCTAGGCCAGATGTCCCAGGAAAGGAGCCCTGGGCTGCTTCTTCTCGTGCATTCCTTCCTTTGATGCAGGGAGTGCTCTATATTAAGAGATTTTTCTAGGGCAGAAGAGAGCAGTCTGGCAGGAATCAGCATCTGGCTTCTGCCTCCACCCCACCCTCTGTCCCGCATGCTGGTGGTAGTGGGGAGCACTCATGAGCAGTGGAGGGATGTAACAGAGACCTGCACATGCCTGGCATGTCCCCAGACAGAGCCCCTCTAAGCTCTGACCTCTACGGCCTGGCCCCATCCTCCCGCCCCCTCTCGCCAGCTCCTCTGTTTCCCTTCTACTCTCAAATCTGCTCTGCAGCTCAGGGCCTGCCAGCCCAGGACCAGCCTGCGGACAGCAGTCCCCACTACCTGCCCGCTCTCCCCCCCAGCTCCTCACCAGCTCCCCGCCAGCTCCCCCCCAGCTCCCCGCCAGCTCCCAGCCAGCTCCCTGCAAGCTCCCAGCTAGCTACCCATCA